GTTTCTGCTCTTAAAAGGGCCTGTGCTTTGTTTTATGTTTTGCTGTCACCATCTTGAAATCCTTAAGAACTTTTGAATAATAGGACTTATATTTTATTAACTTTTTTTGGGTTTTGTTTTTGGCTCCAGTGCACAGCATGTGGGATCTAAGTTCCCTGACCAGGGATCCAACCTATGCTCCTTGCAGTGGAAGCGCAGACTCTTAACCACTCCAGGAAATTCCCAAGCCCTGCGTTTTAAATTCTGTATCTGGTCTCACAAATTATGCAGCTTGTCCTGATCTGATGAGATTAGGTAAACACAGCACCTGCTCGAGTCCCTTGAATTAAGTGCATATGGACACTCCCATGCCTTTGTTCTTTCCCTTCCATATTCGAATAGCTGTGTGTTTCTCCTTCCCCGGGTTAGGCAAATTGAAAATGATACTTTTCTAGTCTCTCTCCCTCCATTCTGTATTGCCCCACCCCTAAGAGAAGCAGATAATTCTTTGATTCCTCTTACGACTGTAGAAAAGATATTCAATCCTCATATTTCCTTGTTAGCAGTGCTAGAAAGGAAGATAGTATTGGGGGAACGTGTATAGCCTAATCCTTTGGTAAAATGAGAGTCTTTGTGGAAGCAATTTGCCAGCTGTAAATTGCTCTACGAAAGTCATGCTGAAGTGCCCTGAACAAAAGGTTTATTGAACAGTAACCTGGTACAGATATGGGTAAGGAGATATGTCAGAATCTTATGGGGTCAAACATTCAAAGTCATAGCTCCCCAAATATCAGTATTATCTCTGTGAATTAAGTGAGTATAGAGCTCCATCATATGTGCTACAGGCTGAGGGTGTTGGGTTACTTGATTCCAAAGAGCGCAGGACTCCTGGTCAGAGGGGATTATGGGATGTCAGTAGGTTAGAGGTAATCGTGGAAGCTGATGGAGAAGATGTTTGGAGAGAAGCATAGGGCATGATCAGAGAGAGCTGGAGAGGGGATCTTGGGAGACTTTTGCACCTGAGCTTCTCTACCTTTGGGTTAACATTGAATCCCCAGCAATTTCATACAGGTGGTGTTGACGGGAGCCATCCCCTATGGGGTAAAAACCACCACTGGTCTACACTTATAGGGCTGGTGGATCCAGGAGAGAGGAGTGAAGTTGAGAGAGTCTCAAGGCACATATAAAGCACAGTGCAGAGCCAAGGAGGGGGCCTGGGATTCCTTCCTGCCTCTTTCCCATTGGAAACAACAGCAATACAATCAGTGTCTGTATCGACCACGTCCCCTCTTTGGGGCTTCCCCGCTGGCTCAGATGGTAAAGAATTTGCCTGCAGTGCAGGAGACCCAGGTTCCCAAGTGGTCACTGGCTCTTTTAAGGCCACCTTCCAAGAGATTCTCTCTGCCTTTATCCTCTCTATTATGCTGTTTATTTCATCCAGGGCACAGCACACTCATCGAAATCATCTTCTTGATGGTCTTTATTATCTTTTTTCTTCCTCTCCACCCCTGGATTGTAAGCTTCATGGGAATGGGACTTTTGTCAGTCTTGGTTATGGCTCTGTCCTATGCTAGGTCCATGCCTGGAATATAGTGAGCCCTCAAATATTTCTTGAATGAATGAGCGAGTCAGTTTTCCACACCGGGAATGATTCTCCATTGTGAACTTCTGGTTGTGCTGACATGGGGCTGAATTATTTGCACTTTTCCACAACTCTTTGATTTCTATCCTGCCCACCCACTTCAGGCTAGCCCTCTGAAACTCTTTTTTTCCCCCAGGTTTGATGTTTCTGCTGTTCTTCAGGATGGAACCTTCTTATGCATTCAGTGACCAGTCTTCTGCAGAGTCTATGAAATTCCACTGGAATGTGAGCCAGAATATGTCTGGCTTCCATATTCACCAACACTCAGTAAATATGCATCCAGTGAATCTCTGCCCCTCCCATACTCTTCCTATATATAGTAGAGGAATTGATCATCCATCAGAGGTGATCTGTGCTTGTGGCCAGACTTAAAGAACACGTAAACCATGTCTTTTCAGGAATCACTTTGTTCTCTCAATACCAGTCTTTTATGAGGGTCTCTATCTTCATGCATTTAGTAGATCACAGCTCAAATATCACATTCCTAATAGAAAGCAAGTTGTTGGCTAGAAAAAGGGAACGTATGAATGAAGCTATACAGGCACTGCTGGGAGCCAGGAAAAACGGAGTAGGTACAGATAGCACAGAAGAGATTTGTTTTCTAGGTCTCACTTCTTTCCTTGATGGTCTTGGGGAATAAGGGGAAAAACTAACAAGGCATGTCTACCTTTGATGGTTTTGCGGCAACTTTGCTGAAATGCATCTTGGAATCCATGAAGGGCATTAATAAGATGGCATAAGAAGCTGCTTGTTTAAAAAGAGAAAATATGCTTTAATTGAGAGGACTGAATCGCTGGGTACTAATGTACTACTGTTGCAAATGTGAATAGCCATTTATTGGATTTCTAAATGATTTTCACAGTTCCCAAGCTTTATTCAAATTTGTATTGTCCTTTATGTCTTAAGTCGCTCAGTCGTGTCTGACTCTTTGTGACCCTTTGGACTATATCTCTACAGGCTCTTCTCTCCATGGATTCTCCAGGCAAGAATATTGGAATGGGNTGTTCTCTCTCTCTCTCTTTGTTGGCTGCTGTCTTCCTCATCCAAATATGCATAGAAAAAGTCTTAAGTGGCTGTTGAAACTCCCAGAGGCCTGTTTACTTCAAGGTAGAGGCAGGAAAGCTGCCATAATTCAGAAAGCAGCTTCTGGCATGAGATGAAAGTCAGATCCACTCAAGTTTGGGTCAGAATTTAGAGGCCCCACTGGAGTGTTTATGCTTGTATCTGTAGTCCAGATAAGTTAGTGGAAGAAATTGTTCCCTGTGGCAGGTCATGAATCTAATTACCCTAGAAACATTCCTACAGGCGCTTGACTGAAAATTGGTAAGCTGTGTGTGCTGTCTCTGCCTTCCCCCACCCTTACATCGTGTATGGTCTGTGGACAGCATCACCCACGCAGGCCCAGAGACCCGTAACTCAAGGAGGGAGGCCATGTTTCCGCAGCAGAAAACAGACTTGAGAGCCCGTGTTGCTGAGCACCTATCCCCCAAATTTCATCATTAGGGATGTGGGGAGACGAGAACTTTCCTGGACAACAGGAGAGGAATACTGAAGGCTCGTGAGTTGACAAGGAAACACAGAGAGGAGATAAATGGCTGGCTTTAAGAACTAGCTCAGTGCCTCCCTCATTGTGGATTCGGTCCTTGTCTAGGACTATTTCCCGCTGTTAGGAGATTTGAATGCAAATCTTTCTTAAGAAGGGCATAGTTATATCTGGTTTGAGTGCAGAGTGTGGGTTCAGAAATCAGCATAAATCCATGCCTCCTGGAGACCCTTTGGGCATCGTCTGGTGACTGACAGCAAGGGTTTGGAAATCAGACACTCCGGGATTGAGGTCCCATGCTGACCCTTATTAAGCTTGTGACATTGTATGAACTAGTTATCTCTTAGCCTCCACTTGGTCATCTTTAAATGAGGCTGATGATGTTTACCTAAAAGGCTATTATAAGGGTGATGGGGCAAACAAGGTCATTTAAGTGATTCCTGTAATGATATTTATAGGTCAGGTGCATGCATGCTTAGTTGCTTAGTCGTGTCCAATTCTTTGGGACCCTATGGACTGCGGCCCGCCAGCCTCCTCTGTCCATGGGATTTCCCTAGCATAAATACTGGAGTGGGTTGCCATTTCGATCTCCAGGGGATCTTCCTGACCCAGGGACTAAACTCGCGTCTTCTGCATTGCAGGTGGATTCTTTACTGTCTGAGCCCCCAGGGAAGCCCCATAGGTCAGGGTATTCCCTGCCAAACAAGCTGTATAATTGTTGGGTGGCCAGAGAAGCTGCAGGGAGTTGCATCTCTGTAAATCCGAGAGTGAATCTGCTATGGTATGGGTAATTGTTTTCCCTGAGGTCTTTTTTAAAAAAAGAAATTGATTTATTTTTAATCAGAGGATACTGGCTTTACATGAGTGTGTTGATTTCTGCCACATATCAGCATAAATCAGCCATAGGTATGCAAATGTCCCCTTCCCTATGAACTTGCCTGCCACCCCGCACCCCATCCCACCTCTCTCCATTGTCTCAGCGCCCTGGGTTTGAGCTCCCCGTGTCATACAGCTAATTGCTGCTGGCTATCTGTTTTGCATGTGGTAATGTATATGTTTCTATGCCACTCTCTCAATTTGTCCCTCCCTCTCCTTCCCCCACTGTGTCCACAAGTGTGTTCTCTATATCTGCGTCTCCATTGCTGCCCTGCAAATAGGTTCATCAGTGCCATCTTTCAAGATTCCATGTCCGTGTGTTAATATACGATAATTTTTCTCTTTCTGACCCACTTCATTCTGCATAATATGCTCTAGGTTCATCCTCTTCGTTACAGCTGCCTCAAATGCATTCCTTTTTATGACTGAATAGTATCCCACTGTATATATGCACCACAACTCCTTTATCCTTCCATCTGTCAATAGACATCTAGGTTGCCTCCATGTCCTAGTGTTGCAATGAACATTGGGGTACATGTGTCTTTTTCAGTTATGGTTTCCTCAGGGTATATGCCCAGTAGTGGAATTGTTGGGTCATATGGTAGTTTAATTACTAGTTTTTAAAGGAATCTCCATACTCTTCTCCATAGTGGCCGTATCAATTTACATTTCCACCAGCAGTGCACAAGGGTTCCCTTTTCTGCACACTTTCTCCAGCATTTCTTGTTTATAGATTTTTTGATAATGGCCATTCTGACTGGTGTAAGGTGATACTTCATTGTAGTTTTGAGTTGCATTTCTCTAATAATAAGTGATGTTAATGGAAAGTAGGAAGATGGGAAGTGGGAGCTAGTGATGATGAAGTTGAGAAGTCTTTCTAAATCTGCTAGTTCTCAAGGACTGTGGCTGTCCTCTTAGGGTAGGAACCTGCTGCTGATGTTGGAATCAGAAGAGATANCCCTTTTTTCCACACCCTCTCCAGCATTTATTGTTTGTAAATTTTTTGATGATGTTTGCTGCCAGTTTATAAATATTGAATAGTTTCTTCTGAATTTTGGCCCACTCTAGAATTTGGTCATCATAAGAAGCAAACCAGTCCAAATTTATAATAAAGTCAAACAAAATTTATTTAAACATCAGTTTGCCCTGGGTCATTGTCGATTTATTGGTTGTCATCTTTTCTTTCTCAGCTGTGATTCCATTACATTATCACTATTATGTATACATGTCAGTGATGTGGAAATATAATCTGTTTTCTTGGCAGTGTGAAATTTGTCTTCAGAAAAGGCACTCATGAAAATTGTTTCCTTTAAGATGAAAAACCATTAATTTGAAGCAAATGCTATTATGTTTACCTATAATTAAAAGTACAAACTGACTTTGGCTAGAAGTGAAATGCTTCCTGTGACATATTCGTAATGAGACAGTCTTCTAGATCTTGAGAAAACATGGCAGTGGAAGTGGATCCAAAGTATAAGCTAAAATCAGGCATGGAAAATCCCATAGGAAGTCACACTGATTCCAGGAGAAAAAGAAGTACCGAATCAATATTGCCCTAATTAATATTTAACCTGTATATAAACAAATATGGGTCAAGAGGAATGGTTCTCAACTTGTGGTCCCCAGACCAGCAACATCAGCTTCATCTGGGAACTTGTGAAAAAATTCTAACTCTTGGGTCCCAACCAGTCCTATCCAATCAGAAACTTCAGGAGTGGGGCTTATAGTCTTTGCTTCAACAGGCCCTATAGGTGATTCTGATAAATGTTCACATTTTAGTTTCACGGGCCTGGAGGATTTTTAAAAAAAGTTCTTACTGCCACAGAAATGCATACTGTAATAAGATTGAGAAAACCTCTAAATATTTCTTTTTTATTTCTTATTTCTAATTTTTCTTGTTTCTGTCCATTGGTGGCAGTAAGAACAGGGAAAGGAAGGGGGATTTATGCTTCCTGTTGTGATATATGATGATTATTTTTCTGATGACAACTCACTATCACAGTCTTGGTCTCTTATACCCGTGAGTCACCTCACTACTCCAGTTCAACTAAACTAACCAACAGACCAAAAAATAAACCAGGTACATAAATAAGCTTATATGAATCTTTGCCTGTCCTATGTAATGTTTTGACTGTTAAAGTGAAATTGTCAGATAATCTTTGTGGAGAAGTAAATTTTCCAGCCTAATTCTCAAGTTGAATTTGTTAAGAAAGTCCTTCATTACTGAGAAGACTTCAAATAATTTATACTTATTATAAGAAATACTAGAATTTGTAAAGATGATTTAATCATCTTCAAAACTATTCTAGGCCTGTCTTGTTAAGTGGTTCCATGTATTGATGTTTAGCATTCTCTAATTCACTTGAAACAAATATTCAGCTTCTGGATGCTTAACATCATGATTATCTGCTCTTACCATGATTATTGGTTCTTGTTGGCATTGATTTATAAGAATACACACATATATATATATATTTTTTTTTTTTTTTTTCTTTGACCACACCACATGGCTTGTGGGATCTTAGTTCCCTGACTATAGGAATTGAACTCAGTCCTTGGTAGTAAAAGTGCTAAGTCCTACCCACTGGACTTCCAGGGAATTCTTCAGTACAAATACTTTCAAGTGTTAAATTGTGTGAAGAGTTGAGTGCTTTTGATTGAGAAGATAGCCTTTAGGGAGGAGGTAGATGGTGGGATTTTGAGGGTGGAAGTGGTTTGAAGTAGAAGGGAAAATGGAAGGGTGTTCTTGGGGAAGGAACAGCATCTGAAAAGGCAAGTGGCAGAAGAGTGGGAAACTGAGGGAACTGCCCTGCATGTTGAATGTGGATAGAATAGTGGGAAATAGAATAGAATAGTGGCTCTATTTGTGGAACATTTTGCAGGTCAGGTAGAGTAATTTAAATAAAATTGGTGGTGTACAAGGCCCCTAAAAGTTTTTAAACAGAGTCATCCTTGTCATCTATACTTCTTTCCTCAGTTCTGGAGTGACTGAATCACAGTTGACGATAAAATAGCCTTCGAAAAGATTTGTGACTTCTTTGCATGAAATGTTTACAAAGATTTAGATATAAAACATATTTATATAGTCATTTAGAGAGCTGATCTTATTAACAAGATTGCAATGACTTGAAACTGGGATTGCTCTAGAAAATGAGGAATGTACTATTTTCCTATTAAAGCTTATATCAAAAAATAAAATTCCGGGTCATGAAATATGTACAGAAAGTTCAGAGAAAAAAAACAAAAAAACCATTCACTGGCTTTGATATAGTTGAGTTTATTTTGAAGGGTCTTTTTGGAAGGTTGACATAGATATGGAACTTCTTCCCCATGTAGGCGGTGTTTACAAGTGATCCTCATACAAACTACCTCCCTGTGCAGTTCCGGTCACCCAGTCAAGCAGAGACTCAGCGTGGAGACGTGTCTGTTATTTCTGTGAGTACCATCTGCTGTGTACACTGCCTCAGCTTCTCACTTTTTCATTCTATCCTGGTAACATGAATTATCTCTGACAACATTCACTTGTTTCTAGTCACATTTTTATTATTGGTAGTGAGCTATACAACAGAGGCATAAATACTCCTAAACATATGTATTTTTAAATAAATGAAATTTATTGAAAATTTTTTTCTCAGTTAAGTTTATTGATTACTTTTAGGCAAATGTTAAAATTATTCAGGTGACCCAGATTCCTTTTCTATAGGAGAAAGGTATTTTTGGTTTAAAAAATTGTCATTGGTAATCAATATGTAGACAATTGTGTTTAACCTCAGTTTTTGAAACTTAAAAGAAGCTCCCCAGTTATTTGCTTAAAATATGGAAGGTGAAAGTTTTAAAATCTCCTCAGCCTCTTGTTTTGAGATAGCTTGGCTCCCAGTTTTTCAGATGAGGAAAGTGACAATGCAAAGTGTTAGTTGTCTTTAAGTAGGTTAATGGAAGTATAAGCGTTAGCCTGAGTGTCATTATTGGAATTTGGCCTAAGAGCCAAGTTCACCAGCAAGGTTAATCAGCTCTAGGAGTGAAAGTGAAAGTCACTCAGTCGTATCCGACTCTTCGGGACCCCATGGACTATACAGTCCATGGAATTCTCCAGGCCAGAATGCTGGAGTGGGTAGCCGTTCCCTTCTTGAGGGAATCTTCCCAATCCAGGGATCGAACCCAGGTCTCCCGCATTGCAGGCAGATTCTTTACCAGCTGAGCCACCAGGGGAGCCCAAGAATACTGGAGTGGGTAGCCTATCCCTTCTCCAACAGATCTTCGCAACCCAGGAATTGAAACGGTGTCTCCTTCATTGTAGGCGTGTTCTTTACCAACTGAGCTATCAGGGAAGCCTACTGTTGGCATGTGGCCTGTCCAAAACTGAGTTGACTGGAGTGCATCTATATAAAGGGCTCTTTGGGTAGGAGGTATCTAGCCAACTGATGCCCAGCCAGGGCCTGGGCTCAGTCTCATGTGGTCTCTGGGAGCTTTTTTTTATTTAAGTGGTGGACAACACATTTACAAATTCACATATATGTGAACAAACTTAAATCTTTTTTTTTTCCCTCTCTCAATGTCTTTCATTGTGTTAAGTACACATAACATAAAAGTCACCATCCTAACCATTTTTAAGTATATAATTCAGTGGTATGAAATACATTCATAATATTGTGTGGCCATCACTATTATCCACCTCCAGAACTTAACTCTGAATTAAGAATTTTTTAATAATTCTGAATTAAAAATACGCCTACGTAAGGTGGGGAGGGAATGCAGAATTATTAATCAACAAGCATAAAGTTTCAGTTGAGTAAAATACATAAACTCTCAAAATCTGCTTTAGAGCATTTTCCCTGTAATCAGTAATAATATATTGTTTACTTAAAATGTTTAAGAGGATGGATTTCATGTTAGTGTTCTTACCACAATTAGAAAGAAAGGAAGGAAGGAAGGAAAAGAAAGACCCCTACTTAAATATAACTCCAAGGTTTCTCACGTATATATACCTATTGCTCTGTGTTAGCATGTTTTCATTTTGTAGTATGTTCATGATGTAGTTTTATTGGTAGGAAGTTTGTTAGCTCAACATCTCAATGAAGTCAGCAGTGTGAGGAACCCATCCCAGCCTCCTTGTGTGGGATCTGGTAGGTGTCAGTTGCAAAGGGATGCAATTGGGTGCTGAGTCTCTGCTCTACTAGCTTACTAGGTAATTAAACAAGATATTGTATTGCCCAGACAATCTCAGATAGGGGATTCCTCTGGGTCTGCAGACATTGTTTGACTCCATTGCTGGAGTCACTGTGTGCCTGGGGCCGTAAAAAGGGTCACAGAGGACTGTGTTTTGTCATGTTTACCTCTAATACTTTTTACATTTATTACCTGAAAAGTCTTTGCTGGATGTCTCCTTGCTTTAGTTTTTATGGAAAATTTTGTGTTTCTTTTAAGCAGCAGGTTTTTGGAGGTACTTTTCAAGTGGACAGTTTGTGTTAAAGATCATGTTTTTTTTTTTTTTTTTTAATCACATGTGTCTCAGTTCTAAGTATTCAGATTTTGAAAAATGAGTCACTTTCAGCCTTTCTAAATATAGAATGGCACTATATATTAAGCACTTCTAAAACTATTCTCTGGACTAGAGCAGTTTAAATACAGGCAAAAAGCCATTTTGAATTCCTGTGAGATCATTAGTGATTAGAAATAAAATTTAAGTATAACTTCTCCAAATGAGGACAGGTGTAATGAAGAGAGTATCTCTTTGTTAATTTTTAACATAGTTTATAGTTTTACACATTTTAAAGAGAAACAGTGCCTATGGCCTAGTGTTAAATCATTTTTCAGTCAAGAGTTTTTTTTTTCCTTTTTTGGTTGAGGAATTTATGAGATTTGGATATATCTGGAATTCCTTTTTCTTGCAAATGTCTCGAGCCATTAATTTAAGGAGAACGACTGGAACTTTCAGTTCACAGTAATTGTTTGAACAAGTTATCACTACCCTGTGGCTTAAATCCTGGTAAAATTTCCTGGTTTCTATTTTGATTTTAAAGGAGAGCTATATATGGAACAAAGCAGATGAAACTATCTGCCTCTGCTGATGTTTCAAGCCTAAACTCTAATGGGGCAGGAGTTTATGTGGGTTAAGGAATTCTATTTCTCTCTCTCCTTACCTACCTATATGACTAGATACCTATTGTATGTAGTTATGTATTTTTGTCCTGAACCAATGTGACAACATCTGAGCTGTAGTATAGAGGCTGTCACCTACCTGATCGCTGAGTTGGAAACTGACCCCAGTGAGAGAGTGTGTGTATTCTGAACCTGCAGAATCACCTTGCTCAGCTGAGTGCAGGCTGCCATGTCTTGCTTAGAGCATCTTATCCAATCAGTAAAGACCAGTCAAGGTAAAAGCCTATGGAAACACAGACTCAATTTCAAATGTTGGCAGAGGAAGAGTGATGGAACATGCCGTTTGCATTTTGGAATAATTATTTTTGATTCATGGGTTTAGAAGACAGAGCGAAAGGGGCTGGAAAGATACTGAAATGGGGATGACCGCAGAGGACGATCTTGTATTCTCAGATCAACGGCACCGACTTTCCCTTCCGAAGTGTGGGCATCCTCCTCCTGGTTGTGGATGCCTGCAGTGTTCCCTTCCGGTTGACAGAAAAAAAGGTTTTCTCTTTCACTGATGTCAGTCGCATGGAAGAATATTTAAAAACAAGCATCCCTCCAAGGTAGGTGAAACTTGCCCGGTATAAGGGATAAGGTACCTTAAAGATGACACCTGGCTAATTCTAAGCTTTGGCTTGTCTACTTTCTTTTTTACTCTGGGTATTTAGGATTCTTGAAGGATACTCATTCCTTCCCAGTTTCAGGTTGATCCTTGTGTGATCTAAGTCGCTTATCATTGATAAGTGAGGACTTGGATGTTAGAAGAGTTTGCAGATGATGAGAAGGCTCTTGGAAGGAGAAAAGCTCACCGTTTTGAATCATTCCTATCCCACCTCTTAGTATTAAGCTGATCTGCATTGTACCCAACTCTCTCAGAAGGTTCATTATCATTTTAAAACAATTTTATTGAGTTTCACCTTTGTAACAGTCTATCCTGCTGATGATCCCTTGGACAGCATTGTGCTACGACTCTGGTATAGGAAGTTGTCACCTGGGTCACTTGGAATTGACTGGAAAGGACTAAATTGATTTTTTAAGTGGATGAGTATGTGATCTCTTTTTTTAAGAGCCCTAGCATCATTCATTTTTCTTTGTTAGTGTCAGAACAAAGGTGCACAGGCGAGAAACTTTGCTGTATTTGTGTTGGGCAGACCCTGACTGGAGGCACGAAGATAAATTCAGTCCCCTTTCTGCCCCCTTTGCCTTGCTACGGACATTGATTTACACACAGGCTTTCATTTAATGAAGCCCCAAAGGGAGGAACATAGGTTTCCCAGGGAGCAAAGTCCTATGTAGCTTTTGAATCATCATGAACTGATTTGGTCACTTATGCTCCTTAAACTTTAAAGAACCGGATCTCAACAAGTCCCTGAGAGTTGTTATATTCTTTGAGTGTAGCATTCTTTGTGTACATGCAGCTCTCTCTTCTGGTTTAATACATTTGTAGGTATTTAGTTTGCAAGGCCTCAATTTTCTTTATGTATCTAAAGATGTTTTTCCTAATGTTGGAAAATAAACACACTCAGTCACTTCACCTAAAACAATCTGGAACATAGAGCTTATCACAGATGTCGTCATGCAAGGCACCCAATATATTAAGAAAAGAAATGCTTTATTAAAGGATATATGACAAGAGTAAAAGGAAAGGCTCTCCCTGCTTCTGGATGGAAAAGTTAATACTGTAAAGAAGTTACTCTATCTAACTTAAAATTTAAATCTAATACATTTCTGTTAGTGCCCCAGTAGGTTACTTTTCTATTGTATTTGACAGTTGATGATGAAGTTCATCTGGAAAAATAAATAAGGGAGTCATAGAACATTTTAAAACTAATTACAGTAATACAAGGGGCTTATTTTATCAGATATTAAAATAAACCATAAAGTAAAAGTCACTCAATCATGTCCAACTCTTCATGACCCCATGGACTGTAGAGTCCATGGAATTCTCCAGGCCAGAATACTGGAGTGGGTAACTGTTCCCTTCTCCAGGGGATCTTCCCAACCCAGGGATCAAACCCACATTGCAGGTGGATTCTTTACCAGCTGAGCCACCAGGGAAGTCTAAGCCATAAAGCCATAGTAATTAAACTGTGTAGTGGTGGCAAAGGAGAGAGAGATCAGAAGAGACAGTCCACAAACAGATCTGATTGTATGTATTGATATAATAAAAGTAGCAATTTAAACCAAGCCATGGGAAACATTTTCTTTCTTTTTTTTTAAAGGATTGGCGTTTATCCATTTAGTTAGTAAATGGATAGTAGAACATAAGTAGGTGTATAGAACATCTGAAACAAACACTACCAACCTCTTCTGTTAAAATAGTTTGCTCCATGAAAGAGCTGTGTCCCAAGGCATCCACTAGGTCAACTGATGTAAATGACTATATCATAGTTTTCCCTATATTTAGAGACCTCCTTGTAATAGAAACGTTAAGTTCTAGGTGCAGAATTGAAGTAGACCCTTGTAACAGCAAGGATGAAAAGGCATGTGAAGTGCTTTTTGTTTTTTGAGTTCTGCTTTTATCTAGTGTTTACTTCAGAAAGGTACTCAGTAAACACATGCTGAATTATTGAAATTTGCTCTGATTTTCTAACTTTTACAGGTCAGTTGTCCTGTTGAGCACAAGAGGACAGATAAAGCAGTTGAATATTTCGGATTCATTAGTACCTCTGGGATTAGCCAAGCCAGCCAATCTTTATAACAAAGGTTTGTATCTGTATTCTTCCATAAAGTTTTTATGAGAGCAGCTATATATGCATTTTTATGGTGGAGTGTTGCTACCAGCCTGCTTTCATGAGCTTGTTAGGCTGGGGTGGGTATTATGAAGGTAATTTCTAAATCAGGAGACAGTGTTAGAGGAAGTGTGTTGGGATGTAGTTTGCTATTTGGGGCAGGAGGTGAGTGGTAAGAGTTCATTTTCTGACATAAGGAAGTATAGTTTTTTTGTTGCTTTTTGTTTTGCTCACCTCCACCTCACCTTTCACATTATCTTGCCTGAAACTAGTAGAGATACACATTGAACTTTTTTTTTTTTTAAAGGGAGTACCATATTTTTGGGATTCAATGGAAACTTTAAACCATCATGGACTAAGCTGTATACCAGCCCTGCTAGACAGGGCCTCGGGCTGCTTGAACAATTCATACCTTTGCAGCTGGACGAATACGGTTGTCACAGAGCTGGCACTATCCGCCGAAGAGACCTGGAGCTGTTGAAGCAAACTTCAAAGGCACATTAGAGACTTAACTGTAACTTAAGTGCTGGGGGATAAAAATGTGAACTAACTTATTTAATTTATGGCATTTTAAAATGACACTGTTAACCCAATGGAACCATTTTCCTGTTTGATGCAGAAAGGGGAGAAAAGTAAGAGTTTAAAGTGATTGCTTGAATACCAGCTCACGCACCTTCTAGTTGTACAAAATGTTAAAGAATTTATTTGTATTTGTTAGGCTGGTATATTTCAGAGATCAGTTCTCTTATCCCTCACGTCCCACTCCTGTGTTTTGTAGTGACCATAAACAGTGCTTCACCTTTTGTACAAAATGGGATGTTGTGAGGGAAGGGGAGCTTCTGAGAGTCAGCCTGAGTCCTTGAAAGGACCAGCTCTTGTAGCACCTTGGATACTTGAAGTCTAATGTTCACTTGTGTCGTTGACTTTGGGTCAGCAGTTGACCTGGGTGGCTGGCATGTTCAGGAATGCCTTGGGCCCTGATTCCAGGCAGCCTTTGAGGATTTTGTATGATACTGAATGATGGAGTTTTAAGTGGCAACTCAGGCCCAGCTCATGCCCTATTTTGCTTGGACATGTGCTATTTTTATTCATTTGTATATTGATTCCTTCTAAGGATTCAGCTTTCAAACAGCAAGTATTATTGGGAAAAAAGGGCTTTTATGGGTTCGACATCCCTTTAATCTGTGACCATTGGGCAAAAATTGGACCTGCACCATGGTCTGATGTTGGTGGGACCATTTTTGCAGCTTTAATCCTTAGCCTGTTTGACTGTATATTTGTATTTAAAATGCAGAGCTGAGCTAAATATTTACATTTTTTAAGAAAAGAAGCAGGCCATTTTCCTGAACTATAAACTTGTGTCATTTCAACTTGCACAAAGGAAGTCTGTTCTTGGAGTTGCTCCTGCACCTGTTTTTTAAATTTGTTTTTGTGTGTGGATTTTTTTAAAAGAGCTTCTCTGCTCACCAACCTGGCAGGACAATTGCAAACAACTTAATGGTACCCCGAAATATTGTACTCAGGGAGAGGAAAAACAGGAGAACCTTTTAAGGGCCAGAATCAAGGAGAGAATATTCAGAAACAAACCTCTTTTTAGCCTTAGAGGAGTCCATCACTCTTAAGGAAGTCGTTAGGAGCCCACTGAAAAAAAGGCACTGTGATGCCCTATTTTTCTTCCTACTGGGTGTGTGCGTCTCCCGCCAGTGAGGACTGCCTGTGGCTAAAGGAGATGGGTGCCACAGCCAGGATGTCATTACACCAAGAGGAAAGAGGTGTTGAAATGCTTTTATCTTTTCCTAAACCCACAATGCATGATGTGTAAGGTGGGGATGGCCACAGCAAGGAATATGTTCAGGCTGACTTTGGCATTGAGTACAGACAAATTCACTCTTCTCTATCAAGAGCAACAGCTAACAGCCTGAAACTGCAGAGCAGCTCTGTGACTTTATCTCCATTACTTTACAAAATATGCTACCTCAAAGTGCTACCGATAAACCTTTCTAAATGTAAGTACTCTTGTTAAGAGTACATGTCTTAATCAAAGTTTAGGTTTTGGGGTGTTCTTTTTTGTACATTGATGAATGAAATCTTACCTATTAAATATATTATTGGATCATGGTTCCTCAAGGTGATTAAAGTTTGTGTGTGTGTATTTTTTTTATGACAAATATCTTTTATGTGTGATTTTTAGAGTTTGGCTCTTTAAAGATTTGAAGAGGATATGTAAGTTCTAAAGCACTCAGTTTTTCTGATTTATGTGCTAATGGTCAGGGCCCAATTTAAATAAAAATATGTGTGCATGTATTTTGTCATGTATGTGTGTGACTATCTAGCAAGCAGTCTATTTTTTTTTTTTTTTTCATTCCATATCCCATCTGTAAAGAAGCTATGGGCAGAAATAACAAAGAAATTTTCATCCACTAGGTAGATTATGTAAGACTAAGTAACTTCAGAAGGCTGGTGCAAAGGTTTTCTTAACTTTGGCTGCACATTGGAGAAAGCTAGGGAGCTTTAAAACTTATGATGGTCTGGTCTGTTCCCTCTATTTCAGCTCCTGTTTCACATTTAATTGGTGTGGGGTGCAGCTTGGCCATTGGAATTTTTTTAAAAGCTCTCTGGGTTATACTAATAACATGTAGCCAGGGTTAGGTATCACTGCACTAATATAATAGGCCCACTGTTTAGCTTCAGTCTATAATTTTTTGTGTGATAAAAAGAAAATTATAATTATCTATTTTTATTTGTGATTCTTATATTGCTTATGGAACTCCCAGCCCTAAACAAAACATTTTGCTATTGTCTGATCTTTCAGATAGCGTTTTTAGTCCTTAGTTTTCTCAAATTGTTAAACTGGTTATCAGAGCTGATATACACATTTCAGGCAATTGGGAGCTTGCAGTCTGTTTTATTTCTACTGGGAAAATGTGTTCAAAGGTGATTTATAAGTTCGTAAGCATTTTCCATCAGGTGAGGCAGTTGGTTGAGCTCCAGAAATGTGGCCGTCCACAAATTGGCCAGCTGATGAGAAACACAGGACCTTCTCATATGTCGACAGACTTGGGTTTTAAGTCTTTCCTGTGAGATTTCTCCCTCTCCACCTGAATCAGCATGCTGTATATTATCTTCAGAGGCTGGAAGAGAGTGTTTGTGAGAAGATGAAAGACAGGCTCATGGTCTTGTAGAACAGGACTCCAAAGCAGCCACTAAACTGATGTTTAGGTCTGAGGGTTGGGAGGAGGATTTATGACTCCTCTGTTCTCCAGCTTCATCAGAAGAGAACATATCCCTGTGCCATTAGATGGAATATTTGGTTTGGAGGAGGGGTGGGCAATGAGGTGATGGATAGAGGCTTGAATGCTTCAGATAACTTTAGTTTTCATTCCTTAAGGGATGAGGTAATGTTTGGATAAGTCCAGTTGAAAGGCATTTCAGTAAGCAGGTATGCACTTAATTTAAGTGTGTGTTTTTTTTAAGTTGGTTGTAGTAGGTTAAGTACTTAAATTCCATTTTGACAGTGTTTGTTGATTTCATGATGCGTAGTTGGAGTTTACCCTCTGGAATTCTTGTTCGCTTTCAGATACTTGTGAAATCAAGTTTAATAACCTGATAAATTCCCCTAGAAGTGAATACCATGAATGGGAGTAATTGGGTAACAGATTTGTATATTTATGGTTAGTCTTAACTTAGTAATAATCCAGACTTTTAGAAATATGAGTGCACACTCTGGACTGGAGCTCATTTTCAACAAAAGGGAGGGAAAAAAGTTAAGAAAAGACATCGCCAGCCCCTTGCTCACAAATAACAAAATCCTGTTTATTTCTTGCTGAACTCTTGGCATCATTTGTAAGATTGAAAGTTTTACTGACATTTATCTTCAATAAAGATAGAGAAGCTGATAAAAGCGATGCTAGTTAGGCCTTGGTGTTGTAAGGAAAGGCACACAACACTTTGCTTTTATGTGATAAAATTACAGAATGACTGATTGAAATATGAAGATTTCTGAATGAGGAACTGTGCCCCACAGGGCCTCCAAAAATATCAGCCATAGCAATATATGAAAATGTTATTCCTGAAAATCCAACAAATAGGGGGTCAGAAAACAACTTCATAGATTCATTTAAAGTTTTTTTTTCTAAGATGAACGTTGTAATTCGTCTGGTTTTGCAAGGTAATAACAGATTTAAGATTCATCCTCAGAGAAGCTTAGACTTTTTCATCAAAATTGGTAAGTCAAGAACTGCAAAACTAACCTGTTGAACAAACCTGTCCCCTTGACTGGTTTTGTACTAATTTTGAGCTAAGAATGGTTTCATATCTTCAAATATAACACGTTAGAAAAAGTCAAAAGAAATATTTTATGATGTGAAATTATGTATAGATTATATTTTGGTGACCATTAATAAAGTCTTATTGGAGGACAGTCATGCTCATTTTGTTACATATTAACTGTAGCTTGCATATGGCAATGGCTTATTTGAGTAGTTGCCACAGAGACCATGGCCTGCAAAGCTGAAAATATTTACAGGCATGCCTTATTTTATTGTGCTTCACTTTATTGCATTTCCCATGTATGGGTTTTTAACAAATTGAAGGTGTGTGGCAGTACTGCATGGAGCAAGTCTATTGGTACCATTTTTCTAGTAGCATTTACTCACTTGGGTCTCACATTTTGGTAATTCTTGCAACATTTCTAACTTTTTCTAACAAATTATATTTGTTATGATCAGTGATCTTTGATGTTACCACTGCAAAAGAATTACAGGACTCACTGAAGGCTCATGTTGATTAGCATTTTTTAGCAATAAAGTTTTTAAATTAATAAATGAACATAGTTTTAGACAATGCTGTTGCCCACTTAATATACTACAGTATAGTGTAAACTTTTATATGCACTAGTTAAAAAATTTGTGTGACTTGCTTTATGGTGATACTGTTTTATCACAGTGATCTGGAACCAGACTGGAAGTATCTCTGAGGTATGTCTGAACTGTTTTCCTTTACTGAAAGAGTTTGCTGACCCTTGATCTTGGTGTAGAGTATACTGGTGTTCATTGTACTGTTCTTGGAATCTTCCTAAGGCTTGAGAATTTTTAAAACAAAATTAAGGGAAAAATCATCAGAATCACCTGAGGTACTTGATGAACCTGCAAAATCCCAAGCTCCAACTCAGACTGGAGAATTGGCATTTCTGGGAATTGCAGCTGGAAATATAATTGTATAATAAGCTCCTCAGAGGATTTCTCTGGTGGTCCAGTGATTGAGACTGAGCTTCCAGTGCAGGGGGCACTGGTTCAATCCCTAGTTGAGGAACTGGAAACCCCACATGCCGCGCAGCGCAGCCAAAAAATTAAATATAATAGTAACAATAAAAACGAGCTCCCCAGGTGTTTCTTATGAGCACTAACATTTGAGAACCCCATAACAAGTAGTAAGCCCCTGTTATCATCGCTTTCTCTCTTTTTTCCTTTAATAGAGGATACAGCTGAACAAATGTTTCTTTTTTTTTTTTTAACTCTGACAGCTCCATCTACACTGTCTTCCCCACAATGTTTGGTGACTAATACAGGGCAGAACTGGTGCACAACAGTATGTGGTTGTTTCTGGGGCAGAGGTTTGGAGCCTGTGATAAGTCTGAAATTCTCACTGTTAAAATTATTTCTTTGACTGAAATGACTTCTAGAAAGAAATCCTAGCCATCCTTGAAAGTTCTTTTTATTATTTTAAGGAGTCTAAAGGGAAATGTACAATAAGTCACAATCAGGCTGCATGACTAACAAAAATATAAGTTTCTTTGCTTTTGGATGGAACTGTATTCATCCTAGTTATCCCACATTTATCAAAGTGCTGATTGGCAATTGCAGGTCTATTTTTTTTAAAGGTAGAATGAATTATTTCATATAAGCAAGTTGCTTTGTACACAAAAGCCTCTTAATACATGAGCTTCATGGAGAGGTTTTGGAAAAGGTTGGATGGATTTGAGGGGTCCTTACCAGGAGGGAGGGTAACACACTCTCTGGGAAGGCATGGAAGGTTTATGTTGTTCCACCTTCTCCCACCAGCTTTCATTAATCATAACACCCAGTTCCTGAGGGAGGAAGGCTTTGGTCAGATAGGTTTCTTATGTGGGAGAATTTAAAATCTTCAAACTTGGGAAACAAGGGGCATCATTAGTTCCAATATGGGTGAGAGAAGAAGGGAGTTCTGACAGGAGAAAGACCACGCCAGAACTTGTTGCCTCTTTCAAAATTATGCATGTGAGTAGTCTTCTTCTCAGGAAAATAGCTCAGTGAATAATGGATTCCAGACAGTCAAGTGCCTGATAGGGTTCATTGTTGAAGGTATGGTGGGTGTTTTATCTGATGCCACTAAGGCTCTTACCAGCAGTGTTTCTTCAAACTGTTTCCCAATCCTGATCCTCAACCTTTTCATCTATTAAATGGAATGACTAATAGTTTTGAAAAATTACAGAGGGGATCAAATAAGAATAGTCAACAAACCTGGGTGTTTTATTTCCAAAGAGTCAGATTTCCAGACAAATTTGTTATCTGAAAACTGGGTTCGTCATGAAGGGGCTTGGCTGCAGACAGAGTCCAAGCTCTAGTTGACTGAAGACAGAAAAGGTCAACATGGTTGTCCTATTTGTTGTTGGTCAGTCAGTAAGTTGTGTCCGACTTGGCAACCCTACGAACTGCAGCAAGTCAGGCTTCCCTGACTTCACAGTCTGCCAGAATTTGCTCAAACTCGAGTCCATTGAGTCAGTGATGCCACGCAGCTATCTCATCTGCTGCCACCTTCTCCTTCTGCTGCCAATATTTCCCAGTATCAGGGTCTTTTCCAGGGCTCTTCACATCAGGTGTCCAAAGTATTGAAACTTTAGCTTCAGCATCTGTCCTTCCAGTGAATATTCAAGGTTGATTTCCTTTAGGGTTGACTGGTTTAATCTTCTTGTAGTCCAAGGGACTCTCAAGAGTCTTTTCCAGCACCACAGTTCAGAAGCATCAATTCTTCAGTGCTCAACCTTCTTTATGGTCCAACTCTCACATTCGTATATGACTACTGGGAAAACCAGAGCTTTGAGTATAAAAATCTTTGTTGGCAAAGTGATGTCTCTGCTTTTAAATACACTGTCTAGGTTTGTCATAGCTTTCCTTCCAAGGAGCAGGCTCTTTTAATTTCATGGCTGCAGTCACCATCTACAGTAATTTTGGAGCCCCAAAAAATAAAATCTGTCCTTGCTCCCACTTTAACCCCTTCTATCTGCCATGAAGTGGTGGGACTGGATGCCATGATCTTAGTTTTCTGAA